AAAGGGGGGAGGGGGGAGGGGGAAGGCGATCCGCGAACTCGGAATGAAACACAGAAAATGGAGAATCGAATATGATCGGCAGGAGGAGGTCGGTAGCCACGTGTTTGTATGTTTGTGTGGGTGGCTGCTGTCCGTCCGTGTGCGAGTGAAGGTGGCCGACGGGGGGTGGATTTGGCACGACACGCGGCCGCCGCCAAAGCAGTGCAACAGCAGAGGAGGAGCACGGTGAGGGTGAAGGAGGGGGTGGGGGAGGTGGGGGAGGTCATGTGATGCCAAAGTGATGAAAAGGTCGTGTTGTCTGGGTCCCGGCTGCGCCACGCGGCCCGCTCGCGTGCCTACCCGTCCCCGGCCGTCTTCCTGCCTGTCCGTCTGCCTGACGTCGTGGGGACGGGTTCACGGCCAATACCACCACCCGGCCGCACGTAGTACCTGTTGAGTCGTGTGGAATAAATACTACGACTACTATACTTCTACTACTGCTAAATGGAGCGCAAAAGTTGCCTTTTTTGCAGCGCTCTCGCGTGCACGTAACCTGGAGTTTAGCGAAACTACGCGCAGCGCTGACGATGGAAAGGTATGGTAAGGGGGAAGGGGGCCGAAAAAACTATGCTTTTTTCCTGTTTATTTTCACATAGCAGTGCCACTTGCTCCTCTCGACGAAAGTGTGTTTTTTTCTTTCTTTTTTTTCATCTTTTTGTAAATGAGTAAAGCTCTCGGAGCGGTCCGCCCGCATGGCTGCTCTCCGTTCGTCTCCGTCCCTACAAAGCAAACGCACCTTTGTGATGACGCCAAACTGGTGCCGGGGCACTTGTTGGTTGGGGAAGTTGTCGAAGGCGGCGGCCACCTTCTTGAGCACCAGGTCCAGATGTTGGGCGAGGATGGGCTTCCCCTGAGGAAAGTAAAACCTGCAGGACAGAAAGAAAAGAGGAAACATCGTCAGCCGTGCGATAAACAACGACACATCCAAAACAAATACATATATCTGCACTAGGAGTGAAAGAGGGTTAATGGGATGGGACCGACCATTGACGTGGTAAAAGTAGTCGCCATCTACAGCGTTACTTTTACCGTTGCTGCTAGAGTGAACTATTGCGAAATTTCGGCTTTGTCATCCACCTGCATGATGGGGGCTTTAGCAGGTAGCGCGTGGTGGGGCGTGGCGGCCGCGCGCACAACTACACACACACAAGGGCAGTGGCGCGGCGTGGCGCGGCGGCCCGGGCTCACCTTGGATCGGGATGGAACACAATGACGGTGGGCGACATGACATGGTCTGCAATGCCTCCCTGCCGGCGGAGCCCGCCTGCAATGCCTTTGCAGCTCGAGCCCGGCATAACGCCACCACGGCAGGGCCCTGCCCGCCCCGCCCCGGCCCGGCCTCTAGGCAGGCTCACAGTACTTTGCTTACTGGGCCACTGCCACCACTATGGGCCCCATTGCATCGCGTGTGATTGTGTGTCGATGTTTTGTTTTCATTATATAGGTGCAAGGGGTGGACGGACAAGGCCCGGTTCGGCCCGGTTGTACCCCCGCGTCCACGCAGAAAAGGGCAAACGCGACGAGATGCGGCGTGACACCTCTCTCCCTCTCTCTCCCTCTTCTCTCTCTCTCCCTCTCTCTCTCTCTCTCTCTCTCTCTCTCTCTCTCCCTCTCTCTCTCCCCCTCACTCTCTCCCTCTGCCACCCTCCCCTCCTCATTTCCGACGGATCAACCTCTGACATTTCGCAACAGCACACAATGTGGGGCGTTAAAGGACCTTTCCACCCCCTTCCTTGCCCTTCTGATTCGAGTAAACGAGGTGAGCTAACCTGGCCTGAGCTCCACCCCTCACCCCCCCGCCCCCTCTCTCCACAGAGTCGCACGCGCCCATAAGGAGCGGCAAATTCCAGCACCGCCAATTGGAAAAGAATTAAAAAGTAAACGGGGCCATTCATTGTTTCATCGAGATTCCCATTGCGATTATTTCTCCTATCCGCCCTGATCACCTCGGCCGCTCGGCCCCGTGGCGGTGGTGGGCCTGGCCCGGGCCGGGCGCGGCCGCTACCGGAGCATTGTCATTACACGATTGATACGCCCCATTAGAACGCGTCCGAGAAACAGCGGCGGCTGCTTATGCCCCCCTCCTTTCCCCTTTCCCCCTTTTTCTTTTCCATGACCGCGGTGCCAAATCTTTATTGGGGTATGTGGGTCCCACCGTGGCCGCGGGGGGATCTCGTTTTCACATCAGTTTCCACATCACACACCACACCTCCTGGACGGGAAAGGGGGAGGGGAGGGGGGGGCGAGGGAAGCGGAGGGGGTGTGACCCGAGTGTCCACACTGGCGCGTCTGAGGCTCCCGTCAGGACACCCCCCCTCCCCAGCATAGCCCCGCCGCCTCCCGTGTTGTTGACCTCGGCGTGTGGATTAAAAACCTCGGAGCCGATCGAGAAAATGGATTCCAAAGCAGCGAAATCCCGCCTCCGTGCGTCCAGCATCAACAACCACTACCAGCACAGCAACAACCAGTGGGTGTACGGCAGAGAGAGAGAGAAAGAGAGAGAGAGAGAGAGAGAGAGAGAGAGAGAGAGAGA